ATATATTCCTACAAAAGATGTTAAATCAAAATATGTTACAAAATTATGAATCTACAACTTTTATTTCTGCAAAAAAAATGTTAAAGAAATCGGCAATCAGAATCAGAAATCATCGATTTCTTTTTTTTTTTTTTTTTGAACTGCAAATTTCACATTTTTTTTGCAAACCGCAATATACTGATTTATCTGAAAATTATAAATTTTGGGTCACCACTAATTCAATACTATAACAGATTAATAAAATTTTACAGTATATTTTGATATTTTATTTATTGCTTAGAGGATATACAAGTTATACTTTTAAAATATTTTTTATTTAATTTATCATATAATATAGCTCCTATTTTTTTACTTGCTAAAATTTAGGTAGTTTGAACTACGCTAAGAACACCACCTCACAAAAATACTGCGCAACAGATAATAAGATTCCGAAATCAGAGTTGTCAAAAATTGTTTGTCACTTTATAATCAGATCTAAAGTTAAAAATGCGTGAGTGTATCCAAAATTTGTGAGTAATCATTATGATGAAATTTTTTGATGAAAATGAAGTTGAAGAAACTTTACCGGTTCTCAGAAGTTCGTCGAAGATACCATCATAGAACCGAAAATTGGCCTTAAAAATGATGAGAATGAGACATAAAAATTTTCTAGCATGGAGTGTGTAACGTTCAATTCTGTTAAAAATCTTCTCCTGGCGAAACTTGAAACCTTGATTGCTGCAATCAGAGTAGAATTGGTGATTAAAGTCGTGTGTTCATTCATTATCGGAAATTTTCCAAGAGAAATGTTGATGAAATAATTAAAACTGTTATACAATGGAACCAAATTCATATTACTATATTAATTAGTATATAAACGTATAAATCTATAACAATAATTTAAAAATACTTATCGCAAAAATAAATGTATATGCTGTCGAACTTCTCAAAACCGATATGGACGGTAGACGGGCTTTGTACTATACATACGTATTATTGTAAACCGTTTATTAAAAAAGTTAAAAGAGCCGCATTAGAGTACTAAACAACTCTCATTGCGGTCAAGGTAGAAAAAATAAGTAAAAACCTATTTATCTCCGAGACCATAAGGAACGAAAAGTTTCGTTCCCACTCCTGACAGCAATATAGCACTCTCGTCGAGCTCGGCTTTTTTGACTGCTTAAAGGAAGATACATAACTACACCCTAGCTCGTTAAAGCGGTAAAGTAGACCTTAGGCAGAGGAACTCAAAAAAGCTTAAGAAATATAAAAATTGTTTCTGCTTAAGAGATGAAAAATAATAAAAACAAAATAAAAGAAAATCTATGATAAATTTTTGATGTGCAAGAGACGTTTTTTATCGATTTCTGGATTTTGTTACACAAATCATGCATGTGTCAAAACAATCAAAACAACAATCACATGATTATACAACGGATTTACGTGAACTTACTTTTTTGATACACTTAGATTAGGGACCCGGACACTGATTTTAAAAGGTCACGTGACCGCCGCACAATTAATTACAGGTTAAAGATTTTAAAAAATCAAAATTTTAAAAAGTCACGTGACCGCCGCACTTAATCGTCCAATGGTAATTACAGGTTAATATTTTATAAATTCAAAATTGAATAACTGCTTGATCAAATTCGGCAAACCTTTTTATTTTAATTATATAGTTTCGTAAAAATAAAATAAAAAAAAGCTCATCAAGTTTGGTTTAGTAGTTGTCGAGAAATCATCACGAAAAATTTTCAAAAAAACTCTAAACATCGAAAAAAAAACCAAAAATCGGATAAATTTTTCTTTTTTGACCCGAATTATTTAATTCTGAGTTTATAGAATTAAAATAAAAAAAAATTGATCGAATTTGAACAACTGGTTATCGAGAAATATTCATAAAAAGTTTGGCCCCGGCTTTTTTTTTTTAGCGCCTAGGATTACTCGGTACTTGCCTGGTCAAATTCGATCAAAAATTTTTTATTTAATTCTATATGTACATGGAATTAAAATAAAAAAATTAATCGAATTTGACTAGGTGAAGTGCCGAGTAATCTTAGGCGCCTATAAAAAAAAAATCCGCGGCCAACCTTTTTTTTAGCTTTTAATTAATATTAGCTATTCAAATTTGAACAATCTTTTTTTATTTTAATTCTATGAACTCATAAAATTAAAATAAAAAATTCATCAAATTCGGGTAGTTGGTTGTTGAAAAATTGTCAAAAAAAAGAAAAATTTATCCGATTTTTAGTTTTTTGATATTTAGAGTTATTTTAAAAACTTTTCGTGATGATTTCTCGGCAACTACTAAACCAAACTTGAGCTTTTTTTATTTTATTTCTACGAAACTATATCGATATAATTAAAATAAAAGGGTTTACCGAATTTGGTTAAGTAGTTATTGAGGAATCATCGCTAGAAGTTTAATAGGACTTTAATTTTGATTTTTTAAAATCTTACCTGTAATACCATTGGACGATTTTAAGTGCGGCGATCACGTGACTTTTTAAAACCATCATATCTCAAAAGAGTAACAAAATTTGGGGTACATCTAGGTGTATCAAAAAAAGTAAGTTCAGAAGCATTAAAAAATGTAAGTTTTGCACATCTAGATGTATCACATATGGGCGGATTTTCCAACTTGGGCCTTTTTCTAGTCTCCAGATCTAATAGAAAATTATTAACTCAGCAGTAAGGACCCCTTAAATAATAATTACGCAAATAGTCAACTGATTTGCCCGTCCTACGAAGTACCCTAAAAATTAAGAATCTCATAGAAAAATTGACGTCTAACTGATTACCCCACCCTTCAACTGATTACTTTTTATAATGAGACTTCGGCCTTTCAATTATATTACAATAAAAATATATATTGTCCCATTCTAGCTAATCATCCATAATTTCTGGGACCCTTTAGAAACCGCCGATATGAAAAAGTTGCAGTAGCTTTAAAAGCCAGCGAGAGATGAATATTTTAAAAGGTCGGAATTGACAAGTGAGAATTGTGATTCTGCCTCAGCCGTATACATGGATTTATTGCGAAAAAAATTATATGCGCATCGAAAACTAAATTAAAGTGGTTATTATGAAATCAAATTACAGTATTGTATTATAAAATCATCATTTGCGTCTTTAAAGGTATTTACTAAATTTTGCGAATAATAAAACTTCATTCGGATATAGCCGATATTCTATTCGAGGTATGATCCTATAGGAGGACTTTCACATGATTGGCTGTTTAAATTAAATTTAATTTTACATTATTTATACAGCTTAAAGTACTTTTTAAAAAAATAAAACTATGAAGAATAAACAAAAAGAAGTATATAGAAAATTTTATTAGGGTCCACTATTAAATAATCAAAATGATTTCTGGTTTTAGAGAAGTTGGCATAATAGCGACTTCTTAAGGATAGATAGATAGAATTAGGTTATTACCATGCTAACTTCCCTAAAACCAGAAATCATTTTGATTATTTTTAATAGTGGAGTCCTACAACCCTAATAAAACTTTCTATAAACTTCTTTTTTGTTTATTATTCGTAGTTTTATTTTTTTTAAAAAGTACTTTAACTGTATAAATAATTAAAATAAATTGATTTAAACAGCCAATCTTATGAAAGTCTTCCTATGGGGTATGATCAACATTTCCGAACAAACATCTGATTGTGGCACGCATATAAAAAACAACAGTTATAGGTTTTTTAAAATTGTTTACAACTTACAGTTTTTTAAAATTGTTTACAATTTAACGTTTCTTAAAATGAATCATAAAACGCTAAAATTTTCTTCAAGACAAGAGTGGACTTTAAATAAACTTAACTGCGTTCTCATAAAAACACAAGAGTGGATTTATAAAAATCCCCCAGTACTAGAAAACAAATATGACGGCTCATTTATTAATATACAGAAGTTTTTTAATGTCGCAAGCAATAATTTATCAAATGATTTTAATAATGAAGTCGAGTCTAAACGCGAAAATGATGCTAATAATAAAGTAAAACTAGGTAATTATACGCGTCTTTTTTTTTTTTTGCAAAATCTTTTCCATGATAAATTTAAACATAGCTGATTTTAAAAGATGTGAATTTTACAAGTCAGAATTTATATGTACTTTGATTTTCATATTGACCTATAAAATCATTCATTGATCACACTTTTTTAAAACAAAAATTTTTGCTATGTTGTTAATTACACATTTTTAAAGAAATTAATGTAACACATTATTATTTAATTCAATAGACATGTCTGATCTTTCTCAAGTTGATCGTGGGAGTAGTTCGAAGACCTCCATAACAGCTGATTCATCGTCAAGCAATACAAGTGGATCAAACAGTGGCAATCCTTTGGCATCTCAGATACCACCGATGCATCACTTATCTCATAGCCAGCCGGATAGAAGCTTAATTTTTATTGGAGAATCGTCTATACGTGCAGGAACTTCAGACAATGGAATATGTAATAATATAGGAAATAATAAAAGAAAGAAGGTGTGTATATTTCTATTATAATATTAGAATCAACCATATGTACTGTACATGACATTGTTTTAACCACTTTAATTCAGAAAAAAGAAGAAACCGATTTTAGTAAGAAGACGTCCAAGAAAATAAAGACTTTCAATTCTAATGAAGTTGCACTGACAACATTTAAATCACCTAATCATTTAAATTCTCCAATGCCTGAGTCCCTTGGACGTGTAAATATATCAACCCTTGAATCAACCAAACTTTTAAACACACCCAATCGTTTAAATTCGACAGCATTTTTACCTAGAAATTTACTTATATCGTCGCAAAAACAACCTAAACAATTGAGTGAGAAAGCTGCAGGAAAATTAATAGTTGATCCCGTGGAGAGTTTAAATATTTCAGTGAGAGAGCAGAAAGAAAATGTAATTATTTTTCATAATCAACCTTTATAACTTTAAAATATTAAAAATCATGATAATATATAAACTCTTACTATTAATTAGAATGAAACATCAGAAGATTGGAAGCAAAAATCGGGTGATTCGTGTAATAAATATACACAACAGGAAAATAAAAATAAACTCAGCGCAAAGGATCAAGTAAAACGCTACAAAAAAAAATGTGGAAAAAGAAAGTCTCAAATCATTGTGAAACTACGTAACTATAATAATTATAATTTTATAATTAATTGAGTTTTTCATACAATTAAATAAATTTAATTTTTTTTATTATTATTAAGCGACAGAAAATTTAAGAACTGATCTTGAAATCATTCCTACCATTGGGGTTTCACTTTTTGCAAAATTGGCTACGGGATATGTTAAATATCGGCCTCAATGGGAGATGTTCGAATATTTAGGAGACAGTGTACTCGAGCACTGTCTCCTAAAAATTGCAAAAGGAAAGTATCTCGTTAATTATTCGGTAGAGGCAATCGAGTTAGGTGTAAAGGTAATGGCTACCAATAAAGTTTTGGCGGCCTATACCATTACAACGGGTCTTCATAAGCTTAATTGTATGGAATTTTTAGAAATTAAAAAGCTTCATGCAGACGCGTTTGAAGCCTATATCGGTACATACTATATTGCTTGTGGGGAGCAAGCAACATGTAATTATTTAGAAAAATTGATGTCCCCATTATTTGATGCTATTATGCAGGAAGCAGAATCAAATAAGGATGTATACCATTTCTATGGTATAGCATCTACATATTTTTCAATGCCATGGATCTATGAGAGGGGGAATCTTTTTTGACTTAATAAAATCAATAATTCATTGTTAATTTTGAGTGAAAATTTTGAAAGTTTATGCTTAACAATCATCTAGAATATTAAGACTAGTAATGATATCATAGTATTGAATGTGATCAAACGCCATTATAAATTTCAAAAAATATAATTCTCGTATATATTTGCAGCTAAAGTGGTCTTTGAGTCCCAAATAGTTCATAAATTACTTTTTTAGAACGTAAAGTTTTACTAGCAAAAAAAGTCATTTCTAGTTTTGAAAAAACGTCTAAGTCACCGTACAAATATAATCATAAAAATAGTCAGTAACCCAAGAACTTAATTTAGAAGCGAAGATTTCATTATTTATTACTATTACCATTTGTATAGTTATATAGATACACTACAGTAAATGCAAAAAAATAGTCAATATAGTTATATAGATTCACTACAGTAAATGCAAAAAAATAGCCAATATAAAGAACGATCAAGGTGTTTAAGGTAAATTTAGATTAAGAAAAATTTTTACAAGTTGATGACTTATAGTATTTAAGCTTAAAATTCTTAATATTTATATTACTTTATTGTGTAGAGCTTATTACGATTGAGCTATGCTGTAAATATGGCTCTAGTACGTATAATAGATACGTGTAATATTAATTAAGGATGTAGAACAAAGATGGTAATACAACGATTGTAATAAATGAAATAGGATTATTATTTAAGAATTTACATTAATAAAGAGTGAAATTCTTTGAAAATTTCCTTTAAACGGATATGAAACAAATAATAACCGGAGAAATATATACGTCGTATTGCTTAATTGATATATGTTTCGAGAGTATTGATGTATTTAGCAAAAGCAGTAGCAATTATAATAGAATTTCTCCTCGAATTTATAATTGGGCTGGAGCGGAGGGAAACATAGTGTAAGTCCTTTCTATGCTCTACTAATTTGGGTCGATGTCCGGCTCCCACCCCTGCAATTATATAAATCGATTTTGAACAATCAAATCCCCTGTAAAAATTTAATCAGAATTTTGATCATTAATAATTTGATAAATAAATAAACTAATAAGCATGATAAATAAAATTACAATTAACGTAATAATTATATATGATAAATAAAATAGACTAATAA